TAGAGGCTCATTTAGCCTCATTCGATATGGTTGAAGAGTTAAGCAACTGGGGACAAGTTTTAATACAAGAATAAAGTCTGGAATAGTCAAAACTGCCCAATAATGAAACGCCTGTGAGGGGAGGGCAGCAATGAGTCCTATGACCCTGCCAGAGTCCAAAAAGAAAAGATTCAACTGCCACTTGGTAGAAATTTCCTGCCAAAGGTTTTAAACATTAAGTTGCCTATGAAACAACTTGAGAAAGTGGCGGTTTGGGGGGCATTATAAAGAGAGGGTTTGGGCAGAATACTAGAGTTAATTATTTTACGTTTTTTTTTTTTCATCCTGAGAATCTATGATTAAGGGCAACTTTCTTGTTTTATTAAAGCAACCTAAGGTTATTGGCATTGTGATTATTTGTTTAAACTTATCGATCTTGGGAAGAAATTTTTATAAGCTGTATTGAAAATTATTCAAGGTGTTAAACATGCTTCTATTTAGAGAATCTTATCTAATGTACTGCATATTCCTCTGATTTAAGTTTTTAATTAGCCACTATAGTCAAATTATATATTGAAACATATAGAATATTTTTAAAAGAAGTAACTAGGCATATAAGAATGTAGGATATGTGAAATGAAATCCCAATATGAGAAAGTTATATTTCTCTGGAACATGGAGGTCAAATAATAAATTATTAGATGGTGCTAGAAACAAACCAGAAAAAAACACCCCCGAAACCAAAAACCGCTACCAAAAAAAGCAGATTCCTAACACTCTGGCTATCAAGTTAATATTATGTCTATTATGTTAATGGTAGTTATCTATGGGTAGTGCTCTTTATTTCATTTTTAATATCTTTTGTATTTTTTCAATGTTTTTTAATCAAGGACTATTTTTATAAAAAGAATCATTCTTTTACTATGCCCTTCACAAAAGGACCTATAAATCCCTTCCTCTTCAGATTTTCTTCACATTGATCATTTGAAGAGTCGCTAATTTATTACCTTGAGTTGCTTTATTTTGGCTTGAACATCACACTCAGAAAAATGCTCAATATTAGTGAGCTGCAAGTCCATCTCTGTCAGCCACACCAGAATGCTGTCCCGTGCTGTCTCAAACTCCTCACGCTGGCCGATGAAATGCTAGACGGGAAAAGAAAATAGTAAAAAAGCCCACATACACATTACTGAGATGGTACTGCCAATGCCTATGGTCTTCTAGAAAGTCGCTTTCTCAATAAGCCATGAGAACCCTGCAATCTTTTACCATATAAATTAACCCTGGATACCCTCTTGCCATCCCTATCTTACAAAACCACCGAGATTATGTCTTAATATTGTATTTGAACAGCCCGATCCTGTCCTCTGGGCCTCTAAGCTACAGAGGAGGCACAATAAAGACCTTGAGTCTGCGTAAGATGGAGGTGACACGCTTTTGCAGATTGTCCCATCGCTGGTTTCCTTCGTGAACCATCTGCTTTAGGCTACAGGCAGAATCGGTGCGGTTCTCTCTGGCGAGGCGGCGGTACTGCTTGTTGATGAGTTCCAGCTGGGTCAGGCTCTCGTGCACCTGTCGCTGGAAAGCCTAGGACCACAGAGAAGCACCAGTGAGGGAGGTCAGAGAAGGGCCCTCAGCAAGGGCGTGTGGGTTTCATACTGCAGTGTCAGGGAGAATGGGAAGTCACACTGTCACAGGCAGGGAAAGGACAGCTTCTAAGGAGTATACTGCCCCTTGTTAAAGCAAAGTAGTATAACCAATGTAGCTTAAGGAGAAGAGCAAATAAAACTATAAAATAAAATGGTAAATATTAATAAATACATATGTATATATATATATAAGTACATATACATCTAGAATATATACATAGATAATATACACTTATACATATAGAATTTACATATGTACATATAAATACATCTTTTAAGATGATTAACAGCCAGAAAAAAATTCCCATAAAACAAATCGATTGCAAAAATATTTATGTGTGCCAAAAAATGTGAGTTTGAAATGTTCAAAATTTCTGATGTCAATATTGAGAAAAGAGATCTACAATAGCACTATCTCCTTATTTGTAAAATATGTAATTGCTTAAAATTCCAGAAACTACCTCAATTCTGGTGCCCATTAAAAATATTAAAACTACCTTTTGCAGAAGGTCTTTTAAATGCAAGCTACTATGAACTTTCGAGAGAAGCAGTTCCGTAAAATACAAGTAACCTTACACAGAAAAAAATTTGGAACATGCTTTTTTTTCTTTTTTGTTGCTCTCATGAATTACTCCATTTCTATAAAATATCTTAGAGCTGATGCAGCACCTTACACAGTAGTGTCTATTTATTTTTGAGGTTACCGAGTGCACAGTTTAGAGTTTCTGAAAGTAAAATACTCTTTCTTTCTTTTCTCTGCTGTTATATAGTATAGACCTAGCACAAGAATCGTTTGGCCGAAATAAAATGAAGCTTTTTTTTTCAAACTCATGTGTGTGACTTATGACTGATTTTCATCTCGGCCTTAGACAGAAAATTGTATCATTAATTGAACTGGGCTCATCTCAATGCTAAGTTCTGCTTCCTTTGGCTCACTGCTCTGTTCTGATGTGGCTCCATTCCTACTTCTGAAATGGTTTTCCTTCTCAGGGTTGCTTTAAGAGCCTTTATCTTAGTAAATTCAATCTTCTGTTCTATAAAACTTTACATTATTTCCCCCAAAAAAGGAAGTGGAGAGGAAAGTTCAGCTCTCGTCATTACTAGGAATCACAGGATATGTTTTCCCACTGGGGTGATGGCAGGCACTCAGGGGTGGGGGGACCCCGGCACACCCAAATCCATCCCAAATATTCATGCCATGGAACAGGTAAAGGCTACCCTCAAGCAAAATTTTGTTTTTGTGATTTACGTCTGTCTCGTAAGAAAATTAATTACAAGATAAATGATAAAATCATTCATTATAGAAGCTAACTATATGGCTAACTTTTGCCATAAAATCTGAGAGTCTAAAATAGCATCAGAAAGGATCTTACATAATCTGCTTTGTAGTATAAGCCAATTACAGAAGGTTTTAACCTTTAGGAAGCTGAGTATGCTAAGATGCAATACAGGAACACTTCACTAGCATTGGTTCATACCGAGATGACCTGCAATCTGCTGCAGAGCTTACCCTGGCTTTTTACAAGAAGTTTTCTAAGGCAAAAATACTTAGATAGAAAACATTTCTTTTTCTAGAATGTACTGATATAGTTACATATAAATCCATGTTCAGCTGTCAGAATGACTCTTATTTATTTCACATAGGATTATAAACATTTTATAGATTCATATAGCTGCCCATTTATGACTCTTAGATTTAAACTCCACAAGAACAAAAACCAAACTTCATATTTACTATCATAGGCCTCAATAAATGCCTGGCTAACTGACGTTATGAGGTAAAAATGAATGCAGCTGAATTTGGTTTGATTTTTAGTCTTATTTTTAAACATCTTGGGGAACCTAGAGGCAGAATTAGTAACCAAAAATGTTTTTTTTGTAAGACACATGCATCAGAACTGTTTGCTATCAATGTGTATGACTACACAGTTCATCTGCTTATTAGTGGGAAATAATGAAATTTCAAGTTAAAAAATAGTCAACAATAGGCTATGTTAGGTCCTCTGTGAAAATGGAAGGCAGCTGAGAAGCTGAGGTTTCATCATACCACAGTGACAGAGCAGACTCAAGATTGCACAAACAGGCCAGGAACTGGGATCAGCTATTGAACGGTCCTGTCTTTACGAGTATGATTATACTGCTTCTATTATTGTCTCTATGAATTCGAAAAGTCTTTGTGACTCAAGAATGGCATTGCTCTTCATTTATAAGTAGAAACGGCTTATGATTAAAATGTTTTATTTAATTCTGGAGCCATCTCTACTTTATTGATGATTTAAAAAAATATATATATACCTATGTTCCAATTACGTAAAAATAATTCAGAAAAATATTTGGAAGATAAATTTTTATAGTGTGGAAAATCATCATATTTTAATCTTAGATGGTTCATTGTAAAGAAGTATGAAATAAAAAGAATGCCAAAATCATTTTTTAAGGAATTATGATTCTTGTTTTGTAACAGAATTCCTCTTTATTACTTTACTTTGTACTGTATTTGTAACTCTTGATAATCTTAAAAAAAAAAAAAAACCCTCCTTTCCTCACTTCTTTGTCTACTTATGAGGCAATAATAAAAATGACCACGGTCATCACCCAATAGTTTGAACAAAAAATGTGTGGGTGAACAGTTAACTTACATCTTGCATCTTACACCAACTAGCAAAATAAGGATCAAATATTTGGAATTATAAATCACCTCAAATTTCTTTAGTTCTTCCTTGGCAACTGTATAGAGTACCCCAGAAGAGCTGGGGAAGGCAGCTGTCCTTTCTGAATTCTTGAGCCAATCTTCAAAACGGGAATAGTCATCCAGAAACTTCTGCCACAATCTCCATGTCTCTTCAATTCTGAGACAGAAAACGAAAAGAACAGAATCTGACTGTTTGAAATTGTTTATGCTCCAGCAGACAGGCACCCTGTCTGATGCCTGCAACAGGATGGAGTGCCCAAGCAAGCAACTGTTTGCCAAACAATGACTATGCCTTGAGCCAAATTTGACTAGAGTGAAAAAGAGACAACTGTTTGAGCTAAAATGAAACAGCTGTGTGTGTGTGTGTGTGTGTGTGTGTGTGTGTGTGTGTGTGTGCTTTTTTTTAAGCACACATCCTGTAGCTCTGGATCTGGAATTAGTCAAATTGAGTATTACAAGCCCATAATATGAACTGTTCTGGACACGTGAAAGAGTCTGGAAGTGTAACACCATGTTTGCAGTGCACACTCATGCCAAGGGTTTGCCGAAATAAAACAAGGTTTGCAAATCCATTTTCCAACACCAAACTTACCCTCATCAAAATCAACTTATGACAGCCAGACAAATATAAATTTTTCAAGAGTTCCCCAGAGAGCACAAAAATTATGTGCCTTAAATGATTATGATAATTTTCTAACGCATCACTACTTTTTACTACCTTGAATTTCAAAGGGCCTACGTATAAGCCCTTTGCTTTATTATTTCATTTTTAATAAAAGAATGTTACTTTTTCAATCACCAATGCTGTAACATTATACTAGTTCAGCAAAGGCGTATTTTCCTGATTTATATTTAAACTGTTAAGTCAAGCATAACTTGGCTTGTGATATTTATATATGATCTTTATTCCTTCTTTTTTACCCAACTAAATGTAGACGACAAGACGTTTGGGAAACCAGGCTATTTTTAGACATTGCGATCACAAGGAAATAGTGAATTGTGGCTGCTCTGGGTTATATTTTTCCCCTTTTTTGTCCTTCCTCTTTCCCAAGTGTTTGAATGTCCCAGCTCACTTGAGCCTTCTTTCCATGGACATGGCGCAGATATTTCTCCACCGCCGATCCAGGTTTCGCGTAGCCTGCTGGATGGAATCGCACTCGGCGTCTGTGGCACAAGCGTCACAATCATGCAGCAGAACCTCGCAGAGGTTGAGGACGGAGGCGACACCTGTGCTGTGTTTCTCTATGTCTCTCTGAAGCTCCTGCAGAGAATGAGATATGCTTTATTCAAATACTTTAATACAGCTGGGAGACACGGTGCCAGTATTTGTTGACTGACAGATGGTTAGGCAAACACTTCATTTTCTTCAATCAACTTCATTTATGAAATATGACAACCTCGAGAAAATGAAGCTAGAAATATTTTGGCTCTGTGAGCAATACCAAAATATAAAATGAACAGATGAAATAGACTGCATTAACTATATTAAGGATTAAATTAGTGATTGCAAAATGAATCTTGCCTCAGACTCTACTTCACAGATATATTGCTTCCATTCCGATCTATCGATCAAGCAATCAAAAGAATGCATGTGCTCTTGTTAAAACCTTGCACTGAAGAACTGGGATTTGATATCCAAAGATTGGCAAACCATTTAAACAATTAATTCCACCATTGTTAAAAGGCACCTAGGTTCTTTGTTACGTATGACAATATCATTATCATCAGTGGCTTCCTCAATTTTAATAGAAATAGAAAGATTATGATAAACAAGGCATTGAATTTCTCCAGACTTCTACCCTGTGAAGTCTTTATTTTGACTGCAAAGCAAGTGCAAAGTGTACATTTTTCTATTGGGTTTTAACTCAATTTACTCAAAGTATTCCATTATTAAAAGTGAAGCTTTTTTGCTTGCCCTAATTATCAAGGTCCTTCATGTATCTTCTCTTACTTTGATATGGTTCTTGAATTGCCTAACTTTTCTCTTGTTCTAATACTTCAACTTATTCAGATAACTGGGATTTATATTCTCGTGTGTATATTCTTTCTCCTATTTTTCTCCTTAACATTATTTCCCAATTCCTTTAATACAACTGTTAGCTTATTGTCGAGTGTAATCACAGTGCCTTTGATTAATTTCTGGAGATTTTATAAGCTAGACACAAAAAGATAAATTCTATCAAAATATTTTTATTTCACTAAACGGTTCTTTCAAATCTCTTGTATAACCTTTTTCAGTTATGTGAAAGTTACCATGGAAACTGCTGGTCTAAAAAATATAAAATAAAATATTATAAAAATTGAACTCAATATTTGCTCAAAAATAAAGACAAACACTTCTGTGAATGAGATAACTAAGTAAATTTTAGGTCTTAAAGTGACTCTTGTATAAGGATATACATTGGAAGAAGTGGTAGGAATGTGAACATAATCCACGAATTTAAAAAAGTTAAGGATTTTGATTTAATTTTCCCAGGTACTCAAAAGTTTTTTCCAGCTTTATTGAGATATAATTGATATAACACTGTGTAAATTTAAGGTGTACAATGTGATGATCTGGTGTATGCTTCTATTATGAAATGATTACCACTGTAGTTTAGCTAACATGTACACCTCAGTTACAACTGGCGTGTGTGTGTGTGTTGAGAACTTTGAAGATCTAAGCAACTATACAACACACTATTGTTAACTAAAGTCACCTTGCTGTACATTACATCTCCAGAACTTACTCCTTATTGGAAGTCTGTCTGTACCTTTTCACCAC